CTGACACAAATACCACTCATGCGATGGACACACATGTAAAGTTCAGCTACAATATCCTGTAGCTCAGGGGTGGGCGATTCCAGGCCTCGAGGGCCAGTGTCCTGCAGGTTTTAGATCTCACCTTGGGTCAACACACCTGAATCACATGATTAGTTCGTTACCAGGCCTCTGGAGAACTGCAGGAGCTAATTTAGCAATTTAAATCAGTTGTGTTGGTTCAAGGACACATCTAAAACCTGCAGGACACCGGCCCTCGAGGCCTGGAGTTGCCCACCCCTGCTGTAGCTGAACTTTATTGGCAAAAACTAAACATGAAAGATGCTCTAAAGCCAAGTTTTAAGTACCACTAATGTAAACTTGAACAATATTTTATTGGGTACACCTTGCTGGTATTGGGTTGGACCCCTTTCTATCTGCAGAACTACCTTAATTTTTTGGTGAAACAGATTCAAGAAGGTCCTCAAAGTTTTGTCGACTGCACATTCATGATGCAAATCTCTTGTTATATCAGGTGCCATTGGATTGAGATCTGGTAACTCCTAGAGGCCGAACCAGTTTGAAATGATTTGAGATTTGTGATAAGGTCCATCATCATGCTGAAAGCAGGAATCAGAAGATGGGTTCACGGTGATTATAAAGGCATGGACACAGTCACCAAAACACTCAGGCAGTCTTTGGTGTTTAAACCGTGCACAGTTGGCCCAAAGTGTGGCAAGAAAATATCCGCTGAAACATTATGCCATCACCAGGCTGAACAGTTGAAACGAAGCAGGATGAAGCTTTCATGTCTTTTAGATGAATGTACAACCCGGATTTCATAGCAGATCTTTACCCGGTTTCTGTCCACTTTTGCTGAGTCTGTGTAAACTGTAGCTTCAGCTTCCTGTTCGTAGGTGACAGCAGTGTTATCACCCAAAGATCTGCCACTCATTGGATATTTTTTCTTTCACTGACCATTCGCCATAGATCCTTAAAATCCCAGCAGATCATCGGTTTCAAAATATTCAGATCACCTTGTTTAACACAGAAAACCATGACAAGCTTTTTTCAGCATTCTGATGCTCAGTTTGAGCATCATGTCATCTTGACCGTGCCTGAATGAAGCGAGTTGCTGCCATATAATTAGCTTATTAGATATTCAGTTAATGAGCAAACAGTTCAGGCAGCGATTTGAATGAGTAAAAGTGAATGCTTGTAAAGTTCAGGCTTAAAATGAATTAGTTTCATATTCCCGAAACAGATAACAGGAAATGAGACAAAAGAGATAAAACACACGTGGTAAATTTGAGTAAAATTGATTGCTTCTTTTTCAAAATGTGTTGGGTTTAAACTTTAAACATCCGAGTTTGACTTTCTTTAAAGCTGGCACCGTCTTTCGTCCTTCCTAGCTTCTATTTGCAGAGCTCTCACTCTGTGCTTTCATTCTCTTGCTTTCTCTCCTCCCTCCCACCCCAGCTGGACTCCCTGCATTTTGTTCTTCCCAGCGGACTGTCCTCCCTACTGCTGTCCCAGTGGAGTCAGGTGATGTATATTTTATGAGCGGGTGCCGGGGACCCTCTGGAGGGCCGCATCTACAGCAGGACAATAGGCCTCGCTCAGGTTTCCTGCTGGCCGTCACTGACACTGCTGCTCTTTTTGTGGGCAGGTGAGTCAGAGCTGGAGTTTCAGCCAGGGCTGCAGACTGAGAGGCAGAGTTACAGCTGGAGCAAGACTGAGGCCGGGCTGATGCACATCTTAAGTTTTACTCTCTGAAACAACACAGCACATTAGAATAAAATAATGCAGATCATCTCTTTTTGGGGGGGTTTCAGTTTTGGTGGTGCCATTTTTAAATGGCAAAACCCCCCAAAAAACAACCCTATTATAATTATCGCAGGTTTTGTTAAGTTTCTTTTAAAAGTAATGTTCATAGGGCAGAAACAATAAAAGCGAGCTTGATCAAAAAGCTGTACTGATCAAAAGCAGAGGGAAACACGCCTAATATCAGGTTTTCATTCTTAGTTATTATTCTCTAAAGAGTCTTCATCTGTTTCCTCTAGTAAATCATATCCTCACTTCTAATTCTAACTTTAGCCTCAAAGCCATTTTACCCTGCTTCATCTTTCCTGTTTCTTCCTGCACTCTTTTGGGTCTAATTTACTTCATGTATTTGCTTTTATCCCTGCTTCATTTGTTCGCTTTGTGCTTGCTTCATGCTTGCAGTATTTATCCAAATAATTTGAGTATTCGGTATTTGAGTCCTGTGATTAAAAACAGATTTCTCTAAAATGTTTTTTACAGAGGATGCACCTGGGGAGAGAAAAATGCATCACTGGAATGACTTTGATTAATAATTTTAATTGGAATTCATTCCGACAGTGTTCAAAATGCTTTTGGTTTGTTTGTGTTTAATGGGCAGCGAAGATGCAAAAACAGTGATGAGAATGCAGTGCCCACGAGAAAAAGAATGGACTCCCCAAGTCTGGAAAAAATAGAAACCATCAGTCATCTATGAGTTTGTGCAAAGATGAACAGCTGGAAAGCTGAGATGAGCTGAACTTCAAAAACACCAGTGCTTTCATCTTTACATTCATGATACTGGACTACATGTTGATGTTTGAGTCCAGTTTCAGATAAATATACGGAAAAAACAACTTGAATGTACTGCATGTGTTGCACTTTACATATTACAATACAAAGATTTTTCCATAAGAAAGCTTCACTTCACTAAATCACTTGATCAAAACACTTCATGGTGTTTGTGCCACGTCAGATGAAGTGATGATCGGCCTTTCCTTAAAAACAGATAAAGAATAAATAATTAACGGTGTCAATTATGGCAGTTCAAAAGTTGATATCACCAGGATTGATTAAAACAAATCAGCCATCAAGTTATGATTCAGCACTTAAAGATTTATCTTTCCACACTTAAATTAATTGCAGCAGGAAACACAAATAAACGGTGCAGTGAGGAAAGCGGGAGAAAACAAGACCTTTATTTACTTTTTCTGAAACATCTGCGAAGAAACATTAAGTTATTGATCAAATGATCAAGCATTGGATAAGAAATAATTATTCTACTTATCACAACTGCAAAGGTGTGATGAGTGATTTCACTTAAGACTAATTCAGTAATGATGAAAGAAGATTAAAACAAATCTGATATGGAAAAGTAAATGAAAAGGAGTGTTCGCCACAAAACAGTATCACAACTTTAATGTTGTTAATGTTCAGTAACAATACAGTGGGAAATACAAAATAAACAGAATTTACTCCAATTAAGGTCGCATAGTATAATAGTTTATTTGAGTAAATATATAATCAACAAAGCAACAAAACGGAGAAAAGGCTCTTGACGGGATGAATTATTTAGTTTATGCACCTGAAACTTCTCACTGAAAACACAAACTCACAATAAGAGTAACAAGAGTAACTTTGTTCTAAATCTAAAACTGCAATGAAGTAATGAAGTTAAACTCGGTCCTCTGTGTGTTAGTTGGTCCCGTGAGCTGCATGAACGTGATTAATAACGCGTGAATCTCGAAATACCTTCATTTTTGTTTTTCATTACATAAGACCCCGATAATTCCTGAGGTTTTTACATGAATGAATGAATGAATGAATGCTTTTTCATGCATGGATTCGTGCTAATTCAGGTCCCCCTACCTTAGTCTCTTCTCAGGTTTCCTTTGATCTGTTTGCCCGCTTTAAGTCAACTACTCGGTCGAAATTATGCGGGATTTTGCCAGATTAATTCATTAAAACCAGGGAATAATGTGCGCTATGCTGTTTGAAAAGCGCTGTTTTTCTCCCAGATTTATTCAGTAATATTTCATTTGTTACATTCTGTTTGAAGTAAACGCTTCAATAAAATAAATGCCACAGTTGTTGCTACTTGTTGCAAATAAGTTTATTTTTAATTTTTACAGGTGCTCATCTTATTAGTGCAGGTGTGAGAGCAGCAGACAGCGCTCGGGATAGTGAGCCCCCTGCCCACTCTGTCACCCTCGCGATAATCATCCTTTTATTACGCGTGGCTGTCTGTCGGAAATCCCCCCTTCCCCTTTTGATTGACAAGCTGTGCCCCGCTGACCCCAGCTCGGTTCACGTGTAAATATTTCATCGTCTGGTGTTTGCGCTCTTTAGTTCCCGTTCAGGACTGTTTATTCTTTAATTAACGGAGGTGTGAGTGGGTTTTCTTGCGCGATCAGGAACATGATGTCCACTAGTACAGCCACAGAGTAAGTGAAGCATGATTAATTGATTTATTAATTGCTACGAACGAGGATAAGGGTGAGGTAGAGGAATTCCTGCACGCCCGCCATCAATTAATAATCTCAACTGAATCTCCCTGTCTCTGAACCAGCCCTCCCTCTCTGCCAGCTGACCGGGCAACTGAAATCATCACCCAAGCCCAAATATTGCTTTTCATATCCACCCTTGCTGTTTGTGATTAGTAGGTTATATGCTGCATGAAAATAATAACCTGAAAAAACACATGATGTCCTTGCTCAGCCGTTTTACTTTGAAAGATCTGCAGCACTGTTACAAAGATGTGTTGGTAGTTTAGGATGAAACGCTGTCTGGGGACAAATGTAAGCCTCCACAGTGCGGCTACG